CATTAGGAAGGTTGAGAACCACTCATTTAGACGCTGACCATATTCCTCAACTGTGGTCCCTTCATCTTCAAAGCCTGCGTCTCTTTCTGACCACTCTTCCATAGGCACAGTTTCCTTTTAAGTAAGATTATCTCTCAATATGAACCCTCAATAGGAGTTCATAGGCTTGGCTTGGGCGCCACTAGAACGCCACCTCCGCCTCAAGAAAGCCATTCCCATCTTGGATTTTTAACTGTCATCCGCAAAGTTTGATACGAAGATGCGATCCTGCGTGTTCCTCTGCCAAGCTCCTTAGGAAACCAGCCCTCTGCCAATGAACCTAAGTCTCAGAGAGTTGAAATGGAATTTGAAGCGGGAAACAGTCAGGAAAGCTATGAGCCTGAGAAGTCCTTTACTGTAGGCAAAGTTAGAGCTGGCAGAGCTGGTGGCCACAACTTTCGGCTTTGAATATGAAATGAAATTAGGGCTTAAAAATGAAAATTCTCCCACAAGTATCTATGTTAAAGCTTCTGTCTCAAGCTGAAGGGAGCTTATAAAAACTTTAGGACCTAGAGCCTACCTGAGAAATTCAGGGCAATGCTAAGTGAGTCAGTCTCTCCCTATCTCTCTCTCTCTCTCTCTCTCTCTCTCTCTCTCTCTCTCTCTCTCCTTCTACTACAGGGAGAACAGCCTCCACTACAATATTTTGTTACGATATTCTGTCCAAACACATGGGGGCCAGATAATTAGGTATTGAGCCCCATAAAATTGGGAATCCAAAATAAATCATTTCTTCTTTAAGTTGTTTTCCCCAAATATTTGATGGTAAAAAAATAACCACTACAGTCCCCTCATTTCATTCACAAGTTGGTGATTCACACTGTAGGAGCTCAAGACCTGGTCTGGAAATGAACCAGAGCCAAGAGGACAGCTCTTTACTGGATTCTCTCTGCGCTCTGGCCTCCCGCAGACATCAAAGTGGTGGAGTCACTTTCTAACTTGCCAACTGTCACCAGCAAGTGCTAACAGGCAGAGGACAGTCACATGGGTGAGTTCCTTTGAGGAAGAAGCTGCTGACAGATTTCCTCTATTGCTGATGGCAGTCTGCTCATCCTGTCCGAGGATGAAGGAAAAGGCTCAGGAAGGCTCCTTTGCTGGCATCTGTCCCTCCCCCAATATTTGGCATTTAAACGATATGAATATATTTTGTTAATTAATTTTTCATGAAAGCATAATACATGAGCAGAAGATTGAAAAATACCAATATGTATAACATAAAAAGATAGAATGTGTGGTGGTGGCACACGCCTTTAATCGCAGCACTCTGGAGACAGAGGCAGATGTATCCCTGAGTTCGAGGCCAGCGGAGAAACCCAATACTGGGGTACAGAAACTTTTCAACTCTCAAGAAATTCGATGCCTTTTTCTGGCCTTCCAAAGTACCAGGAATGCATGGTGCACTGATATACATGAAGACCAAACACCCATACACATAATAAAATAAAAATGAAAAATTTAAAAGTTTGGATATTGCCATGTTGATCCCTAAAATGGTATAGTAAGTGTTCTTTCACCAACAGGACAGACTCTTTTCATCTGCTGGCCTGCCCTGTCACTCAAGTATCCTGACCCTTTAAGAGTCCTGCCCACTCCCAATCTCCCCCACCCCCATGCAAACTGATCTCCATCTCTCTGTCTCTCTGTCTCTCTCTCTTTCTCACTCACCTTCTCCTGAAGAGGCAGCTTCTGTCTTTCTCCCTTCTACCCTTTTCTCCCTCTTTTCTTCTCATTCTCTCTCCTCTCCCAACACTAAATAAACTCTATAGCTAAGCTCTCTCTACATGGCGTATCTGTCTGTCTCTCATCTGCCGGCAGCCTCGGGTAACCAGGTGCCCACCCTTTGTGGGACGGGCCTTGGGGTCACCCATGTCATGACTAGGAAGTTTATTTCCAAACACCGTCTTCTGAACCCATTCTTAAGTGATTAGAGTCTACAATTGGACTCTGGTTTGGGAGGAGCTATGTCTCCAGGCTCAAGCTTTATGAGTGCAGGGGAAAGAGCACTAATCTAAAACTCAAAGCTCCCACATTCTGGTTCTGGCTCTCTAATCCCCTAAAAGATTTTGAACAGGTTACTTGTCTTCTTGGGACACAAGTGTCTCATCAGTTAAAAAGCCCTTAGAACTAAAAAGAAGTTCATCTGTGATTCAGGAACTGCAATTCCCATCTGATGGGCATGCCCAGTCTCACAACATAAAAGTCTGCCTTGGAGAGCAGTGGTTAAGTCCCACCGTGAGCTGAACTGCAAATTTTAGGAGCCCAGTGAGGTTCCAAAGTGGGAGTGTCAGCCTTCTAAGGAGGAGGAAACAATCCTAGAGCAATTGGCAGCTACAAATGATGGCGCACAACCAAGTGTCCTGTCTCATGTTGAGGACTGAAGGGCAGCGATACAGCACCAGACATTGAGTCCTGTTGGGGAGTTCATAAAAATGATGCTACTTAGATGGTTCAGTGGGTAAAGATTCTTGCCACATAAGCCTGATACCTGAGACCAATATCAGGAACTTATCTTTGGAAAGAGAGAACCAACTCCACAAAGGTAGCCTCCTGCCTCCACAGGCACACTGCGGCACCACCCCCTTCCATTTATGCACATGGTGGCACATGCAACCACACAGAATTGTCACAGAATACAACAATATGGTAATTAGTACGTAAAAATTTTTAAAGATGCTGTTTGCCTAAGTCATTAAGTACAAATAGAAATGTATCTAGCAGCGGTGGTAGAAAGGAATCTGGGCACACACTGAGCAGCAATACAAACGGGGTCAGGGGTGAGGAAGTCCAATTAGCAGATTTGAAGAGGCCAGCGAGGGAGCGAGCCTCTCACCAGGTGTGACTGTCCTTATCATACGCACACACAATCCCCGAGGATCAACAATGCAATTGCCATCCTTCCCACCAGCATTTCCTGTCTCAGGGGCCACCAGCTCCATTCTCCTTATCATAGGAACACACAATCTCCGAGGATCAGCAATGCAATTGCCAACCTTCCCACCAACATTTCCTGTCTCAGGGGCCACCAGCTCCATTCTTCCGGTGTCATCCAATCTCCAGACCATCTTCAGTTCATCATCTTTATAACTCAGGCCCAGCCCGTCGAATTCTACTATCCCCAACTTCAAAATAAATCCTCAACGCTAGTCCTTGACTGCTTGCCCCTTGGTCCATCTCTTTTCTCTCAAATAGATCCCTAGCTAATGGGTTGCCATGAATAACTCACCAGTAGTCTTTTCCCCAGCCACCCCCACCCCAGGAACTCCTATTTTCCGTGCACTGAGTGATCCTGTTAAGAGAGGTCATTTCTCCAGAGGCCTCTCATTAGTGAATAACACTCTCAGAGTGAATTCACTGTCAGAGTGAATAACAGTAATCACAACCACCTACGTCCTCCAGGTCATGTCCCGCCCTGACGGTGAGGTGATATCACACCTTGCCACCCTTTCTCCTTTCTCACTTGCTTGCCTTCTGGTTGTTCCAGCCTCAAAATCATCACACGGAACTGTAAACTGAGTCCCGAAACGTCATTGAAAGGTACAGTTTCAGGGGCCTGGAGGGTGACTGAGCAAGCAAAGGCACTTGCTGCACAAGCCTGACGACCCTCCCCCCAAAAGGTGGAAGGAGACAGCCAACTCCTCCATGCTCCATGAACAAACTGTGGCATTTGCTTACACACACACACACACACACACACACACACACAATTTTAGGGTGCCCCTTACTCCCACCTAGCCTGCTCTTACAAGTTCCTCGCAGCATGCTCTGCTTTTCTTGCTTAACTTAATTTCCTATATAGCTGTACGCTTGTCATTTTATCGCCTACATTTCCATTCCCATAAACTGTCAGTTCCGCAAATGCAAGAACTTATGCCTCATGGCACAGCGGACACGTTGGAGCCCTGCCCAGCTCAGCATGTTCGTTGATGGAAGGGATAAGTCAAGGCGAGGGGAGAGAGGTGTCTGTCAAGGGGCTGTGTAGATGATCTGGGCTGGGCGGCCGCCACGGAAAAGGGCATTTTCTCTCATCCGGTTCCAACGCCCTGGGCTCAGGAAACTGTTGCCTCCAATTCCCCCTCTCTTTATCATCTAACTTGTTAGGGATTAAGAGGAAAGGAAAAGCAGAGTGGCAGTCACCCAGGGCTTCCCTTCTTGGTTGTCACTTTGTCCGCAGTGTTAAGTCACCCTCCCCGGATCTCAGGTTCCTCATTTACAACTCTGGAGCCAAAGTCTCCATCGACCTCCAAGGTCTGTGAAATTTATGAAATGAATTTGCACCTCAGCGGGTTCTAACAGGGTACCTGCCGGTTTTTAAAAGCTTGACGGAACTTAACTAATTAGTTTAGCAGAGGTCCCCATGGGTGCCCCTAGAGAGTATCAGAGTCACATAAGCACCCTGGCTCTAAGGAAGCTCACAGAGTAATGGGAAGGAGTGGCAGTCTGACACTCCCCTGGGCTCCACATCTGAACTCTTCTTCAGGCCTATTTCCTATTCTCTCCACTACCTCCTACTTTTAGTCTTTGTAACTTTTTTTTCCATCTAGTTTCCCGAGGCAGGGTTTCTCTGTGTATCCTCGGCTGTCCTGGAACTCGCTTAGTAGTGTTTGTAACTTGAGAGGCAAAATAAATTAATTTTTGTTAAAGCCAACCCCCTTAAAAACAATGATTTAAAAAAAAAAAACTGTCTCCCTTCCCGACTTCTCTTAGGAATTTAGGCAGCTGCCTTTCCAGAGCAGAGGGGGGCCCCCCCCGGCGGGGGGGGGGGGGGGGGGGGCCTGGTCGGAGCTGGGGTGTAAGTTCCCAGTTAGGGTTACAGGAAGAATGGACCCGCCCGGTCCCCGCCCTGTTCGCTGCAGAGGCACTTGCCAGGCACCTGCTGAGGTGTTCCTGGTGCTGATTGGCCTAGTGCACATGGGGCGACATCAGGCGGTGGGCCGGCCCGTGGAGGCTGGGGCAGGGCGAGCTAGCCCTCGGGCACCATCTCTCACCCCGGACGTGCATCAGGCTTCCTTCTCCCAGGGGTGATTAGGCAAGCCTGTGAATAATCCAGACCCAGCAGCTGCCAAGTAGGTGACTAAGAAACCTGCGGGGCGGGGTGGAGAAAGTGAATTTAGAAAGAGTGACAAGGGTTGTCCATGGCAACCTTCAAAGGGAGTTCCCCGACTCCTCTCCGAAAGACTATGCTAGGCACTTAGCCCAGCCAGGCACTGTGTATACAGCAGGCTCATGAAGGTTGTGGCCGCTGGATTTCACACTCCCACGAAGTGAGGGCTATTTTTAATTCCTAATTTATAGACAAGGAAACGGCAGTTTAGTGAGGTTACAGGTATCCAATCAGTAAGTAGGTAAGAAGCAACACCACCCTCCCCACCCGCCATCATTTAGCTGGACAAGAACAGGATCACCACTACCCTTGACTTTTTTTTTTTTTTTAAGTAATATAAACTCAACCTGTTGCGCATCTGTAATCCTTTGGAATCCTGAGACAGAGCCAGGGTTGGGAGAGTTACAAATTAGCCTGGGCTCTCTAGTTAAACCCTGTCTTTAAAAGGAACAAGCAAGCAAACAAACAAAGCCGAGCTGCACCTTTCTCCCAGATTTCCTTAGGGACTTTCCAGTGAACTTCCTGCATCATAGGTGGTGGCAGAACTCCCTGCGGGTTCACTCCCTCGCTGGGAAATCCTTTGTGTTCCATGCCTGCTGGTCCTTCCAGACACACAGAGGTCTTCCCAGCCCACCATTGCTTCAGTTCTGGTCTGCCCCACTTGACCATGCTGTCGTGAGTGGGGCCTGGCGGTGTCCTCCTTATTCAGTGGTCTCAAGCCTTTTGACCTCAAGACAAAAGAATGCTGTCTTAAAAAAAAATATATTTAGAACTCATCCAAGCTGTTGTTTCCGTGAGCTCTGGCTACTCACCTCTACTAGGATTAAAACTAAGATAGAAAATCCATCGTTTGGAATGAGTAATAGGCCAGGGCAGATGGCTTAGTTGCTAAAGCACAGGACTTAAGTTTGAGGTCCAGAACTTGCATTAAACAAAGCTGCTTTGTGGTAGCGCTCAATTTGTCACTCCAGCACTGGGAAGGCAGACACAGGTGTAATGTTAGGACTCCATGGCCAGATAATCTCGACAGTTTGAAGAGATCTCAGTAAAGCTGATAGTGTCTCTGACATACATGTGCATGTACGCCTGTACACATATCATACACAAGTAAACGAATAAAGTGAAATAAATAATAAACACGTGAAATGTTTACAGAAACTGTTTTATGTGAAATCGCTGTATCTTCTAAGACTGGACCTAACTATAAGAGTGGCGTTGTTTTCCGAATCTCCTTCATGTCTGCTTCAGAGAGCACTGGCTACATCTCACCAAGCAATCCCATCGTAGCTACTGAAAAGCTCCACTGTCCCATTCAGGAAAGAGATAAAATTATCTCATTGCTACTTTATAACTGCAGTTTTGCTACTGTGTAGTAGTATAAATATGTATATTAATATAAGTATCTGATATGCAGGATATCTGATATAAGACTCTGGTGTGGGAAGTCCTTCTGTATATGTGTTACTTTTATTGGTTAATGAATAAAGAAACTGCCTTGGCCTGTGATAGGGTAGAGTAGAGATAGGCAGGGAAAACTAAAGTGAATGCTGGGAGAAAGAAGGCAGAGTTGTAAGACAGCATGTAGCTGCCAGAGAGGAAACCTTGCTGGTAGGCCACAAGCCTCGTGGAAAATATAAAATAATGAAAATGGGTTAATTCTAGATGTAAGAGCTAGCTAGCAATATGCTTATGTGCTTGGCCAAGCAGTGATTTAAATAATATAGTTTTCTATGTGGTTATTTTTTAGTCTGGGCAACTGGGAATGTCCCTACTATAAGACCTGCAAAGAGAACTGCTGTTCCAAAACAAAGAAAATGAAACCACTAAAAACAAACAAACAAACAAATCCTAGCATTTTTCCCTTCTATCAATTTGCTTCCTGTCCTTCCTAATTTGTTTCTTACTAAGTGTGATAAGGCACTGATCAAAACCGATTGAGGGGAAGACAGGCTGTATTCATCCTACAACTCCCAGGTCATAATCCTTCACTGGGGGGAAGTTGGGACAGGAATTTAAGATAGAAACCTAGAGGCAGGAACCAAAGCAGAGATTGTGGAGGAACACTGCTTTCTGGCTTGCTTCCTCTGGCTAATCAGCTAATATCTTATATAGTTCATGCCCATCTGCCTAGGGATTGCACTGCCCCAAATGGGCTGGTGCCTTCTGCATCAATTAACAATTAAGAAAATCTCCTATGTCGGGCAGTGGTGGTGCACACCTTTAATCCCAGCACTCGGGTGGCAGAGGCAGGCAGTTCTCTGTGAGTTCGAGGCCAGTCTAATCGACAGAGTGAGTTCCAGGACATGTTCCATAACTAAAGCTGCAGAGAAACCCTGTGGGAAAGAAAGGAAGAAAGGAGGGAGGGAGGGAGGGAGGGAGGGAGGGAGAGACAGACAGAGAGAGAGATAGAGAGAGAGAGAAAGAAAGAAGGTCTCTAACACACATGTCCATAGACTATCTGATGGAGGAAATTCCTAAGTTGAAGTTTTCTCTTCCCAGGTAACCCCAGTTTGTGTCAAGCTGACCAAAATTAACCAACACACTTCTCTACAACAATACAATCAGAAAATTGTTACTATCTGGAAACAGATATATCCAAATTCCATAATTATTACTATCTACAAGGGATCACAGACCAGAGCAAGAGTGTAGGGGACCTGTGATAACAGAGTAAATATCTACCCCTAAGAGGTTCACATCTTTATCTCTTGCAGTCTGTGAATATTCCCACTTAAACGAAAATTGTAGATGGAATTAAGTTTAAGTATCTTGACATGGGGAAGAGTGCCTTGCTTTATAAGGTGAGCCCAGCCTAATCACAGTTATCCACAAGAGGACAGGGCTATTTCCTTATCTGTGATCAGATGGCAATGTGACAAGGGAGAAATAGGCAAAGAGGGGTGGGATGGTGCTGGCTGTGAGGATGGGGCTCCATCCAGAGTCAGAAGCAGGGGCAGTCAGCTTTCAAAGGGTAGAGAAGGCTAGATCTGCAACTCCCCTGGAGTCTCCTAAAAGGAATGCTGCCTTAGAGATGCTTTGATGTAAGCCCATTGAGACTTGTGTAGCCTCTGACCCAAGAGATAATCTTTTTGAATTGTTTTTAGCCACCAGGTTTGTTGAGATTTGTTTCAAAGGCAATATAAGCTCAGCACATTGCCCCAAGCCACCAGAGATGGTGTCTGTCCACCAGGGGGTGCCTGTGAGGCCCAGGAACTGTACCCACAAAGAGTTGATGCTCAATTTCCTACCCCTACATGCCTTTTGTGAATACCTCAAACCCCAAAATTTGTAGCCTGAAACTTTCATTAAGCTTGTCTGAGCACCCCCCCACACACATACCGCCTGGCACCCTTCCTCACGATGTTGGGCCTGCTGTTAATGTTCACATCCTTAATCTTATAGGTGGCCAGGAGTATGTAGTGTGTGGGTCTGGACAGGACCTGGGTGTGAGCTGGAGGAGCTTCAGTGTTGGAACCTGTGAGTGAGAAGGGAGACAGAGAAGGTTACAGGGGAAGCAGCTCCCTATTACAGGGAAAGCTGGGGTTCGCTTTGGGGGTCCTTAATCTTACTAATAAAAGAATTTAGAAATGGACTCAGAAAGAAGTTTGAGGACAATTTTATTAGAGTTGAGATAAAAAAATGACAACAACAAAACCAACAGAATGGGCAGATGGGACTCTGAGTAGCTGTCTGGAGGAGGGAGATGTAGGAGAGGGGGGGGAGGGAGAGAGAGAGAGAGAGGAGAGAGGGAAGAGGAGAGAGGGAGGGAGAGGGAGAGAGAGAAAGAGAGAGAGGAGAGAGAAGAGAGGAAAGAGGGAAGGGAGGGGAGGGGGAGGGAGGGAGAGAGAGAGGAGAAAGGAGAGAGAGGAGAGAGGGAGGAAGAGGGAGAGAGAAGAGAGGAGAGAGAGGGAGGGAGAGGGAGGGGGGAGAGAAGAAGGGAGAGAGGGAGAGGAAGAGAGAGGAGAGAGAGGGGAGAGGGAGGGAGAAAGAGAAAGGAGATAGAGAAGAGAGGGAGGGGGAGAGAGAGGAGAGAGGAAAGAGGGGAGAGGGAAGGAGAGGGAGAGAGAGGAGAGAGAGGGAAGGAGAGGGAGAGAGAGAGAGAGAGAGAGAGAGAGAGAGAGAGAAAGGAGAGAGGGGGGAGAGAGAGGAGAGAGAGAGAGAGAGAGAGAGAGAGAGAGAGAGAGAGAGAGAGAGAAGAGAGCACTGTGTTTTTTGAGGCAAGGGCCAGGGAAAGGAGTCAGGTTCAGCAGTGAGGACTGACAAGCATCCCCATTGTGGATTAGCAGCTTGTGGCAGAAGACAAGATGTCTTCAGAGAACACGTGAGAAATCCTAAAGTGTCCAGGAAAGCATGCTTAGGCTTTGGGCCAGTATTTGACAGAAAAGAATAGAGAGAAGAAAAGGAAAAGGTGTGCTTTTGGAGTTCTTTACTTTTGGAGTAAGAACTTGGCAAATTACACAGGCTTACGAGACTGCCCGGAGAAAAGGACTGCGACTGAACGGAAGGAGGGCTTCAGGAAACTGCGAGTTTATTATTTCATTATGGGATAATTATTTCTCCCACCTCCTCAGCATAACAGGCTTTGTGAGAGGCGGTCTCCTGACCAGGTGATTGACGGAGGCAGCTAAAGAAGGAGGCAGAGCAGCGATGGCACCCATCTTTAATCCCAGCACTTTGAAGGCAGAGGCCAGCCTGGGCTACAGAAAAAGTTCCAGGACAACCATGGCTACACAGAGAAACTTTGTCTTGAAAAACAAAACAAAGCAAAACAAAAAAAGCAAATGGTAGGAAGGAAGAAAGAAAGAAAAGAAAAGACAAGAAGAGAAGGAAAGGAGACAATAAAATATAACTTTCTAATCTTTGAAGCAAATCAGAGTGATATGTCTCTACAAAGACAAGAGGTATTCCATTCTTTTGTTCTGTTCAGGTGACTTAAAGACGGACAGGTACAATGTGGCAATAACTTCACAAACATGTAAAACCAGCCTGTTTGCAAATATATTCTTGAAAATGGCCCAAATTTTATAGACAAGACTTCCATGTTCTGGCCCTCTGCCATAGACCTCTTCCTTTCCGAAAGCTTGAGGGAAAACTGTAACTCATTGGTTGGGCATTTGTCTAGCATGGGTACAGCTCTAGGTACAATCCTCAGTACAGGAAAGAAGGAAGGAAGGAAGGAAGGAAGGAACGAAGGAACGAAGGAACGAAGGAACGAAGGAAGGAAGGGAGCACAAACTATAGGATTGATTTATGGAAGGAGTTTGCTCATTGTTGGGGTCTGACAAAGTACCCCAAACTCAGGGAAGAGGGTAAATTCTCCTAAAGCTAGTTCTGACTCACCTCCCTGCTCTTTTGCAGTTAAGCCCACGGAAGCAGCTGTTTCAAGCCATCAAAAGAGTGAGACTAGGCAGAGACCTTCCTCCATCTAAGACAGCTAAGCCACAGCTAAGCCATGCTGTCTAAATGACTTCTAGCCTTCTGCACAAGCAGGTGTTTACACTGGAGGCTTAGGAAACTGTGCAGATGGATAAGTCAGCCAAGTGCCACCACTTATGTGAGTCTGAGAACCTGAGTTCTGATCCCTGGCACCCACGCAATAGCTGGGTGTGGACACAGGAGGATTTCTAGAGCCAATCTAGGATTTCTAGATGGGCCAGTCCATGGGTTAGCTAGTGTCATGGTCAAGAGAGTCTCAGAAAATAGGGTGGAAAGCAAGGGAAGACATCCAGTGTCAACCTCTGCCTTCTACCTGCACACATGTGCATGCATGTGGAAACACACACACACACACACAATACAATGTTTATTTTGCTAGGTTTGGTGAGATCAACAAATCAGGTAATGACTGAGAAATGGCTTGTTATTCACAGGTCCCAAAAGGAGCAGACATTTTACATCATGTGCAAAGCCACGTGGGAAAACGTGCTGGCTCGTTTGTTGACTCAAAGTAGAACCATCCATTGAAGATGAGGGAGTCTTAATTGAGGAGGAATCACTTACATCAACCTGGCCAGTAAGCATGTCTGTACGGCGTTATCATGATTAATGTTCAACATGGGAGGGCCCAGTCCGCTGTGAGCAATGCCACCCCTGGGTAGGTGATCCTGGTTGTCTAATAAAGCAGGCTGAGCAAGTCTTGAAGAGCAACCGTTAGCAGTATTCATTCCTCCGTGGTCTCCGTTTAAGTTCCTGCCTTGGCTTTGCTCGGTGATGGCCTGTCATCTGTAAGTGAAACAAACCCTTTCCTCCCCACACTGGTTTGGATCATGCCTATCACTGCAGCAGAAAGCAAAACTAGCGCAGTCAATGAGGAATCATGGGCTTGCGATTCAAGGGGGCTGTGAGGCAGACTGTCTTCTTTGTTTTTAAATTTTTTTTAATTTTATTTTTTATTTATTATGTATACAATATTCTGTCTGTGTGTATGTCTGCAGGTCAGAAGAGGGCACCAGACCTCATTACAGATGGTTGTGAGACACCATATGTTTGCCGGAAATTGAACTCAGGACCTTTGGAAGAGCAGGCAATGCTCTTAACCACTGAGCCATCTCTCCAGCCCCACAGACTGTCTTCTTGAGTGACATATTTATTAAAAGAGTTGTTAAGGCCGTGGAAAGACAGCGTGACCATAGCTCTGAGGAGAGACATCAAGGCCACACAGCAGAGTGTGTATGTCGGGGGCAGGGGGAGTCCCTTCTTAAAGGTCTCAAAAGAAGAGGAAGGTTTCATGCCTTGTGGTTCATTAAGATTTATTGTCAGGTTCTCTTTGACTCCTGGTGGTAGAGGAGAGAGAGGAGGGGTTTTGAAGGAATCTTATTAATGTGTGACTTAGAAGATGAGGGAGAAATGGAGAGGAGGGACACATATGACATTGAGTCTTATTCGTTGTCCTCAGTACCCTTGAATACAGTGATTTTCAACCTGTGGGTCATAACCCCTCTGGGGTCGGAAGACTCTTTCCCAGGGATCACATATCAGATGTCCTGCAATCAGATATTTACATTATGATTCATAACAGTAGAAAAATTAAAGTTATGAAGTACCAACAAAATAATCTTATGGTCACCACAACATGAAGAACTAAAGGGTTGGAGCATTAGAAAGGTTGAGAACCACTGCTCTAATATCTTGGAAGCTCAAACCCCAAGCCTATAAACGTCCCCCAAGGAACTGATAATCACGGGTCTGTTATTCTGGAATCTGGGCACCTGAGGAGGCTGTCAGATGGTTACAGATTCAAAAATGGCTCAAATTCAAAGATGGGCTCTCAGTAAAAGACTTGACATTTCCTTTAAGCTAACAGTCAGGAGACAGGGTAAGGCAGAGGGAAATGTGGCAAGTGTCTTTACTCTGGCTTCATGGGAAGTGCTAGCACACACAAAACAAACAAACAGCAAAAGCAATTCTCACCTTAAAGGGAAGAAGAAATAGTTTATTCTGGAGCCATTTTACATGACCATGATCTGGGAACACCAGTTTAGGTGACCCCAAACTCCATGTTCCGGTGTGAAGGAAGCGTCCTAGTTTCACAGAACAAAGATAGTCATAAATCAAGGTGAGTTGAAAACACATTGAGCAGCTACAGTAGGTGGAGGGACTGTTCTTTAGGCAGTGGACTGGTTGGGACGGGAGGATATGTACTGGAGCTCAGGAGCCTATGAAAGCTCTCGAAAGCTCTAGAAAGCAGGTGGCTTAGAGAATAATATCTTCATGTCTTTCAGGATTTGGTTTCAGGACCCTCAACAAATGCCAAACTCAGATGCTCATATCCCTTATATATGACAGAACATCTTTGTATGTGACCTACAGATATCTTGTATACTTTACATTTGTCCTAGATTGCTTATAATATTCAACATTATGCAAATTTATGTAAATAGTTGTTATACTTTATTATTTAAAGGATAATGACAAGAAAAATCTATGCGTATCTTCTTACAGGACATTTTATCTATCTATCTATCTATCTATCTATCTATCTATCCCTCCATCCATCCATCCATCCATCTATTTATCTATCTATCTATCTATCTATCTATCTATCTATCTATCTATCTATCTACCTATATTTTACATTCCAGTCATAGTTTCTACTTCCTCTTCTCCTCCCAGTCCCTCTTCCCCTCCCACTCCATCTCTCTTCCCATCGCTTAATCCCCTCCTCCTCCATTTCTGTTCAGGAAAGGGCAGGTCTCCCATGGATATCAACAAAACATGACATATCAAGTGCATAAGACTTAGGTACATTCTTAATTAATGTATTAATGCTGGGCAGGGTGATCCAGTATGAGGACTAGGGTCCCAAAAGCTAGACAGCCCCTTTTCCTGCTGTCAGTAGTCCTACAGTAGATCAAGCAGCACAACTGTCACGTACATATAGACAGCCTAGGTCAGTCACATGCAGGCTCCCTGGTTGTCTGTCTTCACATGGCAGTGTGCCTCTAGTTCCAGATAGGCCCTGGGCAGCAACATATCTGCAATCCACAGCCAAGATCTTTAGCCTCAACCAGTGCTGCCCTACAGCTGTGAGAGGGCCTGAGTTCTGCTCTGTCCTCATTGGATCATAATCCCCACTTTCCTACTCTGTTTACTACACAGGGCAACAGGGTCAAGTCTTCCTGTTCTCTAGCAGAAACATGATGCTCAGCCAGCAGCCACCGCAACAGGTGGTTGTGGAGAGCTGAGGGGGGGCTGTGCAGAGCTGGGGGGCTGTGCAAAATGGAGAGGCTGAGCAGAATTGGGGGACTGAGTAGAGTCAGGGGTCTGTGCAGAACCGGGGGCTGTGCAAAGTTGGGGGCTGTGCAGAACCAGGGGGCTGTGCAAAGTTGGGAGTTGTGCAGAACCAGAGGCCTCTGCAAAAGCAAGGAGCTATACAGAGCTGGGGGGGTGGACTGTGCAGAACTTGGATCCTGAGCAGACCTGGAGGCTGTTTAGAGCCAGGGGGCTGTGCAGAACTGAAGGGCCATACAGAACCGGGGGGATGTGGAAAAGCTAGGCGTTATGCAGAGCCAGGAGCCTGTGAAAAACCAAGGGGCTGTGCAGAGCCAGGAGGTCTGTGCTGAGCCAGAGAGCTGTGTAGAACCCTGGGTGGGGGCGTGCTGAACCAGAGGGCTGTGCAGAAATGGGGTACTGTGCCAAACCAGAGAGCTATGCAGAACCAGGGGGTTGTGCGGAGCCAGGGGAACTATACAGACCGGGGAGTGGGGGTGGACCGTACCAAACATGAGGGCTGTGTAGAACCAGGGAGCTGTGCAGAGTCAAGGGACTGTGCAGAGCTGGGGGATTGTGCATAAGAACTTCTCCAGGCTATGTTCTTTTTCCTTCTTCCTAACTGCTTTGGCTTGTATCTGCTTGTTTCCAGGAAAGGACCACACAGTGCTTGGGGGCTCGTTCCAAATTTTGTTTCACATTTACATCTAAGCTGAGGACTTGTGTCCACAGCTGTCTGTGTGGAGCTTGCTCTGACACCGGACCACCCATCCCTGACACTGCTAAACAGTCTGGCTGTTTATAGTGGACAAGAACTCTGACCCTGGTGGACAAGGAGAAGCATCTAGAACCTTCTTACGTGTGCTTCTTCCTGACAGGAAGGGTTTGTGTAGGTTTCTCTGAAGTCGGACATTACACACCTAAGGGCCACAGCTCTATTTCAAAGGGGTTGGCTTGTGAACTTCTTTCCCTGGAGATACTGAACATGAGTCAGAGTCCAGCCAGTGGTTTGCATCTGGAATAGATGGCGTGAAAGCAACTGAATGTCACTTGGCAAATTAACATCTTCCAAAAGCACGTGCGTAACATCATCGCACAGTCAACACGGTGTATGTCAAAATGCCAACAATATTTAATAATGACTGTAACATGATCAATAATAACATTTCTAAATATTAGTAGTCTAATTTTTATTAAGCATCAATTCTGCCTATATAGTAGTGGCATTCTAAGCTGATTTTCCATAGAGCATCTGTGGGAAGGGCCTCTGCCCTCTGCCCCCAGGGCCTTGGAGCCCTAGCAACATTGTAAAGAGGAAGAAAGGTTAGGAATTCCATAGCTAGCTAGTTCGGCAGAGGAGGGCTGGCAAAGCTGCCTATGATGGTTGGTTTTCCTTGTCAACTTGACACAATCTAGAGTTCTGCGAGAAGAGGTTCTCAGGGAGGAACTGGTTGACTTGTAGGCATGGCTGTGAGGGATTTTCTGAGCTGGTTTAGTTGGATGGGGGTGATATGGGAACACTGAAATATCTTTGAGAATGATGGAACCTTTCTCAGCCCAACTTATGCTTGTCTTGGGGAGCTAGGCTCCTTGGAACTTGATGGATACCAAAGCTGCCACAGGCCAGAGTCTTCTGGGTTCTTGTCTCATGAATTCAAGAAATAAAAGTCATGGATCACCAAGGATGAGTTTTGGAAATATTTTATTACAGGATGCTTAAGAGAGAGAAAGAAGACTGAGTTCCTGTAAGGCAGGGAGTCCCCTGCTGTGGGCTACCACTGAGTTTTTCTCTGTTGGAATTAGCAAAGCTGTAGTGGATGGAGGAGGGGAAGGGAGTGAGTCAGTGTAGCTCCTAGTCCAGGAGTCCAGAAATTTTAAAGTTTCACTCACATTCTAGTGTGGCCCCCTGGGAAGGGTACTCTCTTCAGGGAGTAGATAAGGAAAAGGTAGGTCCCCTTTTTGGCATCTGTAGCCTATGGCCAACGTGGAACAAGAGACATTCCTGGCTTAAACGCTTCTAGAAACTCAGAGTTGAGTGCTGTGGCCATGCCCAAGGAGCAGCAAGTTACAATTGGAGTTCCTAGTGTCATCCCAACAGAAGGAAACCCCCTGAAGGGCCAGTCTCCTTTAGCCAAGGCCACGGCCTGCAGACATGGAATATCTTTTGCTTCTGCTGTGCCTTTACATGTTTGCTACAGTTCTCTTTCTCTGCCATCTAGCATGGTATGATGCTTAATGGTGTAATACAGTGTGATTATCTCTTGGGAACATCCCATTCTAGCAGGCATTTTTACCCATGGATTGTCAAGAAGATGGCTCCTCCCTAAGCTGTACTGTCCAATTTGATAATAATAATAATAATAATAATAGCTTATGCAGAGTTTTGATGAATAAAAATAAAGACAAGAATATGTTTCACAGCCAGGGTCCATGTCTCACCTAAGGAGCTGCATGGATTGTAGCTCAATTTAGTGACTAACAATTGGGTGGCCCAGTTAGTTTAAATTCTTTTAACTTTAATGTTGGAAGATGTGTTCGCAGATCTTGAAGTGCATCACAGTTAAAATAAAACTTTAACAAAATTAAACTAAAATGTTTTTGTTAAATAACTTTAAGGTAAAAAAAAAACTAAGAAGACAATCTAAAGCTTTAGAAAGGCACAGAGTTGAATGTGGAACTCTTTAAGGTCAGGGAACAAGAATAAAGCAACCCAGTTATTATTGACTGATGGACTCTCCTTGCTAAGTAAGTTGATGATCAAAGA